GTGGCAATCCCGAGAAGAGGAAACCCCTATTTTGTCTGTACCTTCAACGTCAACCCTTCCGGAAGATCAGAATGAAATGGACGTATGCCAAGATTTCAGGCGTCAGAACCGCACTGGATCTCCTGTAATGTCTCCTTGCTCAAACTCAAAACCTAAAAAGGGCAACGATAATGCCAGTGCACTTATTAAAGAGAGTATTTTAGAAGCTGCCGTTGCTAAAGTGTTTCAACTCGTCCAACATAGATACATCGAAAATAGTAAAGTAGAATTGTAGGTATTTGATTCTGCTTCTACTGACTTACTTTGCTTAATTAATCAATAATATCCGGATATATTTTTATTACAACAACTCCTGGCTTAGCCCCGCTAAGAATTATCTGTAAACAATTTAGAGCATTTCGGCTAGACCGTCCATTACTAGAGGTGGTCTAATTATACTAGTCCAATACATTTTGCCATACAGTGAGCATAGCTTTCAGCTTATGTCCTCAGACTGTGAAATTTTGGCAATAGACCTCAGTCTGCCAGGGCACTGCCCTTTTTCACTTATAACGCATATTTCCCTACGGGTTTGCATAATACTCACAATTATATACTGCCTTGGCTAATTGCAAGAATGATTTCTTTCTTACTGGTGATTTCAACTCGCACCATGTTTTGTGGAGATTTCGAACAGACCCTTCCGGTACTCCTCTGTGGATTGGATGATTAATAAAAACCTTACCTGCCTGAATGAAAGACAGTCTACATTTATTCGCGGACGGACACGATCAGTATTAGCTCTTACGTATTGCAGCTCGAGTGTTTCAATAAAGTCTTGGAAAGCAGTTTATTTATATTCAAACAATGACCATCTCCCTGTATACTTCGAAATCTCATGTCCTGTGAAATCTATTGAAAGGACAGAAAAAACACTGATCAATCACAAAAAAATTAAAGGTTGCTTGTGTTCAAATACTAGGGCAGTGTCCAGTGACCAAAATGAATATTTCGACAGAAATGTCTGTTTCGCTTTAGAAATATCCAAGAACACTTCAGAATTTGTAATCGCTTCGGCGTCAACCAAAAGTGCCGAACCTAGTAGATGGTGAAAAAATGAGTGCACACGAGACTATAGAAAAAGAAAAGCTGCATGGAAAAGACATATATGTAATAAGAGTCCAAAAAATTGGAAGGATTATCAGTTCATTGCGGCAACGGTTAAATGCACTGTATCGCGAGCAAAAGAGCAATATGACCAAGAACATTTCGAATACTTGTTTAAATCGAATAACAAACGTGCTATATTCAATTTCCTTCGTGCTAGGAAGAAAACTCCGAAACCAGCAAACGTTGACTCAGTAGTTCACACCTCACAAGAACTACAGGAATTGTTAAATCAATTGGCTGAACGATTAGAAAACAGGTTCTCAACGCATCTTTCTTATTCGGCTTATACACAGCAGCCATCTATGACTACACAGAAATATCTACTTCTGAATTAAACCAGGCTATTGAAAGATTGCCAAATGCAGCACCAGGCCCTGATGGAATAAAAAATACAATGTTAAAAATACTACACAAGCAATATCCGAATGATCTTTTAGGTCTCGTGACCCTTAGAATTGCATGGATCCCTTATGGATGGAAGATTGCGAAAATATACTATTGCTTAAGAAACAAGGGGCAGACTATAATTTAGACAACATATGACCGATAGGCTTACCACCAAATGTAGTAAAACTTATTGAAAGGGTACTTTATTGTCATATATTAGGTTTATTATTGAGAAACAACTGTTGAGTTCTTCCCAAATTGGCTTTGGATCTGTATATTCCATATGGCATGCACATGTAGATCTGGAAGTCGTACTCATATTGTCCGTGACAAAAAGCAGTATGCGGCTTTATTAACGTTAGACATGTGTCAAGCATACGATAGTGTAGAGTATTCTATCATGATTAATCAGTTATGGAGTCATGGACTTCCACCTTATATAGTAGCATGGGTGACGGAATTTTTAAGTGGAAGGGAATTATATTGTTATCAAGGCGGTTTCTCTTCCTGCAAGCACAAGCAAACCCGAGGTGTGCCTCAGGGGTCAACCAAAAGTGCCGAACCTAGTAGACGTTCGCCAAAGTGCAACTCTCAGCTCAAGAGATCACATTATCCCTAAGCACTCACTAAAATAACAAAATGAAAGGAATGGACATCTCGTACTACACGCTCGTTTGCTGAATGTAGCCTTATGTCAGCCCGTGTTTTCAAAGAACGCACAGGACGTTGCTATGCGCCCTAGCACGACATCATACTCTCCTTCAAAGAACGCTAGCATACCAACACACACCTAACCGTTGGCCATTTCCCTGTAACTCAACTAAGCTCAACTGAACACGTGTCCCAACGTAAATGTTCACAAAGAGGAACACGCAAAGAAAATAACTCTTGATGCCGTACACGTCAGGAGTGCGTAACAAAATATGCGTAAGTTTTGTGCCCAAAAACCCTGTATGAGCATGACCCTGTATAAAAAGCCCTGTTTAAACAAGAGCATTTCGAAAATTGCTTCTAGTTTTATTCTGAAACGTTTACTAACAATGCTGATCTCCTCTCTTAAGACGGTCGACAACTTTGCGCTACACAACAAAAGGTACGAAGCATACAAACCACAGCTCCACTCGACAACGCTACTACGCTTTCAAAATTAGCGGGGCGTACTAATCTGCATTCACAACAAACGTGCTCTTACACAAAATAAAAACTCATTGCACGCACTTGGCTGCCTGATGCGGGTCACTGCTCCCGCATGAGGCTTAATAACTTAACTCCGAACACTTATAACGCTTACAAAGAATCTAGAAATGAAAAGCTGTATCTGAACAAACTAGCCAGAGAGATGACAAAAGAATATTGCTTTAAAGTAAAAAATACACAAACATATATACTTCCAAGTAAATCCCAGCTTACAGCTGTCTCTCGCTCTTCAATCATACACGCGGTGGTCGCGGCCTTGGCGGATTTGGAAAATGCCCGAGAGAGAGTGAGAGAGAGAAACAACATTTTTCGTGCATCCGGCGTGCGGGAAGTCACCGGCCGCGCAGGGCGCGAGTATTCCCTATCTAAAGACTATAGCTAATAGTCCTATAGTCCCAGGCTCTAGATCTTGAGGACGTTGTGCTCTGGCTAGGCATTGGATACTCGGGCTCCTCCACTCCCGTTGTCCGGGGCGTCGGTTCCCTTTCTCGTCTGCTTTGCCAGGGCCTCCTCAAGCCGCTGGATGGCCCTTCGTTGTGTGTTTAAGTCTTGGGAGCGTATCCATGCTCCCACCTCATCGGGATACGTGGCGTCCTGGCACTGCCCATTCCCATTGTTCACACCACTGTTACACCCGCCCCACATGATGTGGCGGAGGGAGGGTGGCTAGTTCAAGTTCGCACACGCTACACTTTGCGTCCACAAACATGTCGGGGCATACGTGCCGGGCCAATGCTGGCGTTAGCACGCATTCCGTTTGCAGTTGTCGGAGCTTCACTGCTTCCGCACGTGACAGTTCACGATGCGGGGGCGGAAAGGCTCTCCTGGCCTCTCTGTAGGCCGCCAGGATCCCTCCGTAGTCGGTGAGGGGATCGAGGTCTTCTTCTCGTTCTTCACCGCTGGTTTCAGGGAGACGGGCTGCCGCGGTCCGGCACGTGATGAGATCACGGGCCACAGCGTCCGCCTCCTCGTTGCGGTTCTCAATGTCGGGAGCCAGTTGTCCCATGTGGGCTGGGAACCATTTGAGGGCGATGGTTGGCCCTGTAGCGGCGCCGCGAGCAGCCCGCGAAGCCGCGATGGACGTCACTAGCCGCTCCGTGCCCCGCCAGACCATGCCTCGGACAAAATTCCTGATTGCCTGCTTTGAGTCGCTTAGCACCGTGTGCGTGCCCGGCCTACCTGTGGCCAGGGCTATCGCCGCCTCCTCTGCCTGGCCGGCTGTACGGGCGCGCACGGTGCTTGCTGTTAGTAGTTTACCGGTAGTGGCGCTGACCACCACTGCTGCGAAGGCGTTGCGTCTTCCCGGATATCTTGCGGCGTCCACGTAGACTGCGCCCTCATCTCTCTGATGTTGACGGGCCAGCGCCACTGCTCTCGCCGCTCGCCTGCCCGCGTCCCTTTCTGGGTCCATGTTCTTTGGCAGCGGGTAGACAATGATTTTCCTCGCTGCCTCATCGCTCAGGGGGACTTGTTTTTCTAGCTGCCCGTCCGGTCCTGCTCCCGGGCGTTCTCCAGGAGGTAATAATCCTACCCGATCGAGTAATCCTCTGCCCGCGGCTGTGTCGCTCAGGCGGCTCAGCTGCGAAGCTCTCTGGGCCTCGCTGATCTCCGAGAGCGTGTTGTGTGTTCCCAGAGACAGCAAGGCCGTTGTCGTTGTGCCTGGTAGGAGCCCAAGAGCCCCCGCGTAAGCCTTCCGGATGGCAGCGTCGATCTTGGCTCGTTCCGCGCCGGTCCAGCGGTGAAAGGCCCCCGCATATGCCGCGTGGCTTATAACGAAAGCCTGCAGCAGATGCAGGAGCCCCCTCTCTTTCATGCCCCGGTAGCGGGACGACATTCGCTTGACCAGGCGCGCTGCGATGCCCATCTTGGTTGTGATGTTCTTGACCGCCGTGGCGTTGGTTTGGGTGCCGTCCACGAACATCCCCAGGACTCGAAGCCCCGGGACGTGCGGGATCTGCATACCGTCACTGGTGCGCACGATGATGTTCTCGGCCGCCTCTCGACTTGCCTTCTTTCTGTGCCTCCCAGGTGGTGGCAGGATGAGTAGCTGTAGGTCTTTGTGGCGAACACCGCAAGCCCGTGCCCAAGAGTGCGGACTCCACGGCATCCACCGCCGCCTGCAGACCCGCCTCGATGTCTCCGTCGCTTCCACCCGTGGCCCAGATGGTTACGTCGTCGGCGTAGAGGCAGTGTCGTATCCCCGGGCCCAGCGCCTCCAGACGCCTGGCCACCTCGATCATGACAATGTTAAACAGGAACGGGGAGATGACCGAGCCCTGTGGGGTCCCGACACTGCCCAGCTCTCGTTCTTCGAGCTTCGTTCCTCCCACCTCCAGCCTGGCCGTGCGGCGAGAAAGGAAGGCTCTGATGTAGTTGTATGATCTTGCGCCCAGCCCCAGGCGGGACACCCGAGCCAGGACCGACGAGTGTCTAACGTTGTCGAAGGCGCTCTGCAGGTCCAGGCCCAAGATCGCTCGGTTGTCATTCTTTGGAGTCCCGCCCGGTGGGTCAAGGACTTCTCGTTGGATCAGGAGCATGGCGTCTTGCGTTCCCAACTTGGCCCGGAAGCGAAGCATTGAGTCCGGGTAGACATGGTGCGCTTCCATGTAACGGTTACACCGGGTGTTAAGAACGTGCTCCAGTACCTTGCCCACGCAGGACGTGAGCGAGATGGGACGCAGGCCCTCTATACCCGGTGGCTTGTTTGGTTTTGGCAGCAGGATCGTCTTTGCTGTCTTCCAGGCCTTGGGCAGCTTGCCGTTACGCCAACATTTGTTGTAGTAGCGTGTCAGTGATGCGATGGCTGAGTCACTCGGGTTGCGTAGAGCTTTGTTTGTAACTCTGTCGGGTCCGGCGGCCGAACGACAGTTCAGGTCCTGCGCCGCCTGCCTCACTTCCCATTCCTCTAGATCTCGGTCGAGGTGGAGGTTCGGCTGGCCGGCGTAGTCTGGGTGATCTTCGTGACTGGTGATGGGGAGGTAGCGCTCGTTGAGTCGCTTGAACATCTCCTCTTCGCCCAGTTGACGAGCGGTGGTGTGTAGGATTTGGGCCATGCGTGTACGTTGGTATTCGCAGCTTTTGGTTGGTCTCATCCATCAGTTGCTTGAGGAGTTTCCAAGTGCTGCCACGGTGAAGCTGTCCATCAGCCTGGCTGCAGAGTGCAAACCACTGCTGTGAGCAGAGCTGCCTGCTGTGTCGCTCGATCTCTCGGCCGAGTTCTGCGATCTTCTTTCGTAGCTTTCTGTTGTGACGTTGCCGCCGCCAACGCTTTTGGAGCGAGCGCCTGGCTTCGAGGAGGTGGGCTAGTCTCGGGTCCATGGTTTCGATTTCTTCGGGTGCATCGATCTCTTCTGTGGCCGCTTCTGTTGCCGCCAGCAGCTTCGCTGACCACTCGTCGATATTGTCGACTTCGCCGAGTTCTGTGTTACGGAACTTGCTCCAGTCGACGAGTTTGTGCTTTGATGTTTTGTCGCGGTTCGGGTTTCCGTTGAGATGAGCCAGCGGTAATTCAATTTCGATGATGAAGTGATCGCTGCCCAGGTTGATTCCCGTATTCCTCCACTTCGCGGTGCCACCTTCGGGCAGCATCGCAAAGGTGAGGTCTGGATTTGTATCTCGGGCAACCGATGTTCCGATCCTTGATGGATGGGCTGGATTCATCAGTAACGTGAACTCGGATTCGCCGGCATCTTCAAGAAGGTTCCTTCCCTTGGACGTGGTGGTCGTGTAGCCGAGCTATCGATGTTGCGCGTTGAAATCGCCGCATATTGCCGCGGCAGCGTCTCCTCTTTTGGCCAGGTCTTTCTGTGCTTGTGATGTGGCACTCTTGATATTATGGAAAAGAGTTTTGGATTTCTGCTTTCCATGTCTTGGATTGCTATAGATGTTAGCGATGAAGACGGTGGTTGATGTCTTCTTCTTTCTTGCACCCCGGGTTCCTCGTCCTTTGCCGCTAATCGCTAGCTCGGTGACGCACAACTCGATGGCGGTGTCCCTGCTGCCCAGGAACTGTTGGTGTTTCACGTGGGCGATGCCTTTCCGGATGAACGTGCACACGCCCTGCGCCGCACCCTTCCCGCATGTGCGAGCGGACGGGGGGCAGGCTTGTGTCCGATACCCTGGCAGCGTCGGCGTGTCTTCGGTGTGGGTTTCTTGGACCGCTATCACGTCCGGGCGAGCCATCGGTGCCAGCGATCTCAAGTACTGTTGTAGGATTGCTTTTCGGCACCGGAACCCATTGGCGTTCCAGTGCCAGATCTTGATCTTATTGTTGCTGTCCATTATGAGGGAGAGCCTTTTGTGTTTGGCAATATTGATGCGCCGCTTCACCAATTAGCGGCTGCAGCTTCTCGGGGCTCAGGGCCCCCTCTAGCGCTTGCTCAATTTGGAGCTGAATCGTTTGCGCAAGTTGCTGTTGGATGACTTGGGTGAATTTCGTGAGGATTCTCTGCTCGATGCCCTCAAAGCTCTTGCCCCATTTCTTTATAGCTCTCGCGTTCCGACCGATCTTCTTACTGAAGCTCCCGTAGCCGAGGGATTTGGTCCTGTCGCCGTTGTTTGTAGTTGCCACCGAGATGACCGAGGCACTATCATCTTCTTCCTCGTTGCTTTCGCTTTCTAGTTCCTCTTCGTGTTGTGCTTCCAACCCTCTTGCCACCGCAATCATGGATGCCCTTGTCGGAGTCTTCGCTTTGGCGGTGAATTGGTAGGTCTTAGGGGTTGTAGTGTTGACAAAGCGGTTGCCCGTGATGTTCGTTGGGGTTCTGTTGTCATCCTCATCGGCGTCTGTCGCCATCTTGTTGTTGGCTTCGTTCCTTGATCCCCCCTCTTGAAGCCTTCTAATGGCGTCTCGTTGTTCGTCGATGACGCCTCGCTGTTGTTTGATGGTGAGCTGCGTCGCCGCCATCGCCGTCTGGAGTTCCTCCATCGCCTTCTCCCTTTTCTTAACGGTAGCTTTCAACTCCCGCGTCTCTTTCTTGCATTGTTCGCTGCAGCCGCCGCCGCTTGGCACCTTGCCAGGCTCCTTCAGCGTTGCAGCTGCTGCTATGCTCAGGGCCCACTCGTTTGCGTCATCGCCGCGCCATTGACGTCAGACTTGTTCGTCACGCTCAGGTGCGCTTGCACCTGCGGCGCCGGTCTTGGCGGACGCGTTTCTTTCGGTCTTCCGGAGGTGACGTCAGCCCACTTCACGTCCTCCGGTTCCGCTCTGCTCCTATCACGGCTTGCCACGCCGTTTTGTTCGTGACGTGTCCCGCTGGCTCCCGGCTCTGGGAAGTCGAATCTTCTAGAAAGCGCAGCCTCTCCGGGCGCTTTCGCGGGCGCCATCTCGGTTATAGTTTCGGTGATCTGTTTTATCCTCTGCCGCTGCTTGATTTGTAGCGGCGTTTTGAATTTGTTCTTGCATTTGCCCACGCCCGTGACGTGGGAGCCGCCGCAAAACTTGCATCTTGGTTTGCAGTATTCTGCATGGTCTTCTCCTGGGTTGTTTCTACCGCAAGCGAAGCACACCCTATCATTCGGAGTTGGACACACATCTTTCCTGTGCCCTATCTTGCCGCATGTAGTGCAGACCTCACGGTGCTGCCTGTACAGCGTACACTTCGAGACAAAGCCGCCATACTTTACGTAGCGCGGTACTTTGTTTCCTTCAAATAGAATTACCACCGACTCAGAATTTCCGAGCCGGTGTGCGGCCATAACGGTGGGGTTATGCTTGTTCACTAGGAACAGAGTGATCTGTTCCTCGGGTTCCTCTCTGCCCACTCCACTTATTACAGCCCGTGAGGTGTTGTCTGGGGTGCTCTTATACGCAAACGTTTCATACGTGCGTTCCTCCACCGTGATATTACGGATCGATCCGTAGCGAAAAGATCTCGCTTCGCTAGGAGTGCTCAGCACTATAATGTTCTGGGCGGCGTTCGGCGCAAACGAATCGTCCTCCGCTTCTTCGATCTTAATGTTAGCCGCTGTTATGATGGCTGTGCGCAGCGTGGTCATTTTGGTGGCACTCACTACGAGTCCCCCACGAGGCCTAACAACCACGCGGTGTTCGTCTTTCTTGGCGAAAGTAGGCATGCGGGCTGACTTTGCCATATTAGCATTCACTTTGGCAACGTACTGCGCTATCTGTTCGCGCCTACGCTCCTCCTTCAACTTAGCGTTCGAAGCCGATAGAAACTTGCTCGGCTCACCTGCGGTTAGGGTATCCCGCTGCGATGGGCTGCCCGTTTTTTGCCGTTTCTTCTCGCGTCGAGAGGCAACTACAGTCCAACCCGCACACGAGTTCGGCGGGTCACAGTCACTGTTCACCGCGGTAACACACTGTCCGATGCCGGTGGCGGTCGGAAAACCGTCGCCGATCGTCGTCGAGCAGTCCCCGCTGGCGTCGAGTCGCGATCCGGTCGGTTGTTCGGCGGCTTTCTTCTTCGCGGCGGTTAGGCCCAGCTGTCCATGCCGCCTCTTGCGAGCAGAATCCGCACTTATATCCGCGGCCGAGGTGTCCATAGCTTGGAATTCTTCGTAGTGTTGGTCGTTCTCGTCGTTCCGAAGCCTGGCGAGCTCTGGGGAGGCCTCCAAGGCCGCCTCAAGTGCCGCGCCGACCGAGCACATGGTCGGAGCGAAGGTAGCCGTCGTTAGGCATAGCGGGGCCTCGCCCGCTTCGCACATGAAATCGCTCTAAGACTCCCAAAATTGGGTGAAATGGCCCAAATTTGGTATTGACGTGGTCCACTCACCGAGTTGATCACTCACGTACCAAAATTAGTCCTGTAGGGATCGATGGTCCGCCGAAAATTAGCATTTCCTACAGAGCCGATGTGAAGCGTGACCGCTCGCTCCGCGCGCTCGCAGCGCCCCCCGAAAATGACCGAGACTACAACGTGCACGGGCTAAAAACTGAACTGCGCAGTCACGCCTCATTCGCGATTTTAGCCTGCCTCTGTCAGGTTCGCGGAGGGGAGCCGAGCAATGCGTGGGAAAGAGGGGCCATGCCCTCTTTGGGCTTGCACGTGCGTGGTGCTTAGTTACGGTGGCCTTTCTTCTAGGACCCCTTGGACACTCTTGTCCATGCAAAGCTCTGTATCTCCACCGGACACTATGTCCGAGAATGCGCGCCATCGCCTACCGTTTCGCCACTTGCGCCTTTTAGTGCGCGCCACAAAGACCATTTTGTAGACTGGCGAATGAGCTACCCTCTTTTCTTACCCCCGGATGCTTGCCTCCTCCTTCTTGCCTTCGCGTTGTCGCGCGCGTACGCTTCACCCTTTTACGGTGACGTTTGCGACCGACTTTTCCTGCACTGTTAAGAACATCACCTCGGGTTGCATCATCGGCAGTTGTACAGCTCAAGGATGTTTCCGCACAACCTTCCACAGCACTTCGGCCGTTCGATTTCCCAGCACTGTTGTCATGCCGGTCCAATTCACTTGTGCTAAATCTGCACTCGCACACGCCCTGAAACGCGCTGTGGGTAGAACTCATAGACCGGCGCTCTCCACGTATTTCTATTCGCGAACCCGCTTTCCTCTTACTTTTCGTCCGGTTGCTCGGACGCATGCAAACCGACTTAGACGTCTAT